TATATCTAACGCCATTGAATTTTGATAAATTATCCGTAGCTTCTTAATTTTATTTGATTTAAACAAAAATTCAATCTAATTATCTTAAATTAAAAAAATGTACTAATTAAATTAAAACGAGTCAAAATCTATAGATATGAATTATTTTATTATTTTTATTTCAATTAAATTTTTTATTACTAAATTTATTTAATAAAAATAAATTTTTTAAAAAATTCCCAAAAAAGCAAAAGCTTAAAAAACAAAGAAAATGAAAAAAAGAAATGAAGCATTAGAGGGGACGACAGACCTTAAATACATTTTCAATCTGATCTCAATTAAAACAATTTCAATCTAATTTAGATTTAAAAAAATGCATTTATATTAGATCATATCAATCAAAATCAATCATATATGAATTATTTTATTATTTTTATTTTTATTAATTTTTTTACAAAAATTTATTTAATAAAAATAAAAAAATAATTTATTAACAAACAACAAATAAATTTAATAAAAAATAAAATAAAACAACCAAAAATTTAAAAAAATGGAGGCAGAGAGAGATGCCACGTCGACACCAATCTCTTTTCCCGTTCTCTGCAACTTTCAAGTATTAAATTCAATTGGAGTGAGGCTCTAGCCTACAGAATATCACTGAAGAGTTTAAAGCTTTTCTTTTTCACTCCATGCGTTCATGCATGCTTATGTGTGTGTAAAAAATTTTATATTATTAAAAAATTTAAATAAAATATTTTATATATGTGTGAATAATTTAAAAACCTAATAGTTTAAGTTTTTGGATTCAAATGTTGTTCAATATATATATATCGATTCTTTTGTGCGCTTCAATGAACTATAAGTGTGATTTATCTCTTCAATAAATAATATCAAAGTCAAGATTACGACGAATGCGAGTCCCAGTGGTATTATTTGGAGGGAATTGTTGACAAATCGAAGGTTGATTGCTTTTATCAATTTTATGTGCTCAAAAATCGATATTAAAAAATTTAACTTAAATGCAACAAGTATATAATAATATGTAGAAGCAGAATGAATCAATCTGGAATGTAAGCTTCACATGTATGTGCTTGAACATCAATATTAAAAGGTTCAACTTAGATGCAATAAATCCATAATAATATGTAAAAACGAAACATCCAAATGAACGATATTTTAAGTCAACTTGAAGTAAGTTTCATTTGTGAGTGAAAAATTTACATTATTAAAAATTTGAATGAGATATTTTATATATAAATGAATAATACAAAAATCTAATAACTTAAACTTTTAAGTTCAAATGGTATTTAATATATATGTATAAACTTTTTGATGTACTCTCATATATTTTAAATGTGATTTATCTCCTTAACAATATATATATATATATATATATATATAGAGAGAGAGAGAGAGAGAGAGTCTCGTGAAACATCTTAAGCGAAATCAGGTGATCATGAAAAGCATTTTCTTTCTGTTTATTTGGTTGAAAAGTAACCTCAAGCTTGTGGAATGAGTGCTCAACGCTTTGACAGCTTCTGGATTCTGCTTGCAACTTCTAGCTGTTTTTGCTTTCTCTCCTCTTGTATTTAAATAAATTAATAACACACATAATTAATTAATCTGGAAAAGCACTTATTCACCCATTCGAGCTGTGAAAATTCTATAACCAGAGCTTAAAATATGTACCTATATTTTGATGAAGGATAAACAGTACATATTTTTGTATGGAACTTTGGATTGCTCATCATTCTCATGTTTACTCCTTCAATCAACTTGAGCCCACATTTCTGTCAAACTCAGCCATAAAAAAATGATTTGAAATAAAATAAAAAAAAGACTGCAAAGCTATTAAAAGTCATAGCCTGCAAGAATCCAATGCAAAGACAAGTTTGAAGCTGACCTTCAAGTGCCAATTTAACACATTTCATTAATGAAAACCCTTTACTAAAACACTTTACCTTACCTCATACTAACATCACTCCATCTTAAAGTACTGTTTCCTTCATTCAGACCAATAATCTGCTGAATTTCATGATCATTGGGTCATTCCGCTTAAATTCGAGAAAAGGGTTGTTGATGACATTCTAGTGAAAACACAAGGGCAGTTTCAGACTTTTAGCTGCTGCCCCAGTTATGAAATCTGAACTGCCAAGGCCAAAGCCGTAGGTGAGGATGGTTAAAGCAAAACATGATTGCGATACACATATCCTATCCCTTCTTTTAGCTATCCCTTTACCTTCTTTTCTGTATTCTTTTGCTCTTTTATTATTTATTAAAGCAGACTATAAATTACAGAATACAGAAACTTTTTGCAATATTTTATTACATTTTATGCTGATATTCCTTTTTTTTTCTAAAAAAAATTCTAATTAGTGGCAATTGAGAGGCGTACGACATTGCGTATAAAATAGAGTTTGATTAAAATAACGCTTGGGAGTACGGGTGAAAAAAAAGAATGTAGCAATGATGAGAGAGACAAGTGGGCGCAAGCGGAGCTCGTGGGTGCTGCTGCTGGCTTTCTCATTGCCACGCTGGCAATGGCATGGCATGGACACTCACAAGACTCGTAGTAAATGCCCTTGAAGCCTCAAGGCTTGAAACCATATATTCTTTTCGATGTTACAAAAGGGTTAAAACTTAAAAATACATATTCAGACCCAAAACTTAGCTTTTTTAGGAAGGTCAAGGTTTACACCTGGCAGCTCAATCTTCTTTCAAAATTTATTTTATTTTTTTAAATAAATTTTGTAAAAAAACAATCAATTGTACTCAAAATAATAAAACAACTTATCTCTAATAAATTTTTATTGGCTCCAATCTAATAAAAGTTTTTTTTTTTTTTAATTCTAGATCAGGTCATAGTTTATTTTGATTTTTTTAAATTGAGATATGATTGAAAATAGATTTAAAATATTTTGTCATATCTTGAATATATATATAAAATATTTTTATTATTTATTCAATATTATATTTATATATTGTATTAATAAAATTATTATTTAATATTTTAGTTTAATAAATCCAGATGAGATCCTATTTGATTTCATTTTGTTTGTCTTTTTTTAGTTTTAATTTTTTTAATTAGATAAATTTTATAAAACAAAAAAAATAGAGATGAGGATAACAAAACAACTTGTATTTTATAGGTTTCATTCACTTTGATTCAATAAATGCAATTTTTTTTTAAATTAAGGATCTGGTCAATTTTTTTTTTTTTTTGAAAAAGACTCAAGTAAAAATGGATTTAAGATATTTCGTCTCATCCTAGGTATATATATAAAAACATTTTTTAATATTTATTTATTTTTATATTTATATATGTATTATATTAATAAAATTATTATTTAATAAATTTTAATAAAAACTATATTTATACATAATTAATATGTTTTTATATTAAAAAATAATATATTCATAAATATTATACTAAATTAAAAATTTTGAATTAATTTTTTATCAATTTAAATCAAATACAAGTGTACGTAAATGTGATAATATGAGATTAGGTATTAATTAATAACAACTCAATGTCTGATCAAAGTTGAAGTTGAATTAAATTATTAAAAAATAAATCAGAGTCAAACCATTTCTCATTAATTTGGCTCATTTTTCTTTTTTTCTTAGGTCATTTCTTTTTTTTTTTTAATTTTAGCTTTTTATTTTTTAATTATTTTTTTGAACATTTTTTATCTAAATTTGAAAGATAAAATGACAATAAAAAGTCCATCACACTTTATTCAGCATTTTTGTTTTTTTTTTTGTTTTTATCTTTCTTTTAAATAAAATAAATTTTGTAACAAATGGCATATCCGATAGTTTTAACCCATCAATTCAATAGAGATAATTTTTTTTTAACTAGAATCGTATTAGATTTAAGGTGCCCTACCCCTTCCCATCCAGGGATATATATAATATATTTATTATTTATATATTATATTAATAAGTTTATTATTTAATAAAATATTATATTTATATATAATTGAAATGTAATTTATATTAAAAAATTTTATGAATGTTGTATTATTAAATTAATTTTTAATGAAATCAAATTAAATGTGATATATATATATACGTGCGTGTGTCTCGAATCGAGATCAAATATAAAGATAATAATTCGATATAAGATCAGAGTTACGATCCATTCCCTTTTTTTTTATTCATTTTTGCTTGGGTCCTTTCTTTCTTTTTTTTTTTTTTTTAATTTTAGCTTTCTTTTTACTTTGTTTTTTTAATTATTTATCTTAATATTTTTAATTAGATAAATTTGAAAGAATGAGTTTATATTTTATTTGTTATATAAGTTATGATAATTAAATGAATTGATTGTCTATATATTAGTTAATAAATTTTCACTAATTATTATTTTTATTAAAAAATTATAAATAAAATTATACTCACTCATTTATTAAATTTAATATTATTAATTATAAATAAAAAATTTAGACCCATATTAAAAACGCATATATGTTACTAACATATATATATATATATATATATATATAAATTCAGGTTTGAATTTTCGGACGAATGATTCGCGGCTGTTGTATGTGTAGAGAGTATCAAAAGCGTTAGATATCAGGTTGTTGTCCTAAAAACATTCTCCGTATCATTGTTTAGAGAGTCTTTCTAATTAAAGTAAGTTAAGGATGAATTTTACACATAACATTACGCTATAATAAAATAAAATAATATTATAAACAAAATAAAATTAAATAATATTATTTTATTTTATATTTAATGTGTATAAATATTAAGATAAGATAATTTTATTTATTAGTTAAAATTATCTTTTTTAAATATTTATTTAATTTAAATTATTAATATAATTTTTGAAAATATGATAAAATATATATGTTCAATCATATAAATTAAAATTTTTTTTTTATTTTAAGAGAATTAAATCATTTTAAATTAAAAAATAATTAATTTTTTTATAATTTTATTTTTTTTTAAATATAACTCAAATATAATGTAAAATGAGCGAACTGAACATTTATTTATTAGAATACTTGATCTTGGTAGGACTGCAATGGCTTTGATTCCTTGTTTTGCATGTCCAAATCAGATGGGGTGTGGAATTTGATTGAAAGGACTTGGGATTTTGGATTATTCGATCTTCTGGGGTTTTGTCACTTGACCTTTTTGAGCTACTTAAAAAAAAATTTTCTATATATAAAACTCAGAGAGAGTATTACACCCACAACAAAAACTCTTGGTACTCCTTTCTTGGATATCCTCCCTATTTTGAGAGTTTCATTTGATATGTAGAAAGATTTTATAACTTTCCGGAGTTTGAGGTCTTTCTGTTTTTTTTTTTTTTTTTTTCGTTGGTTTCTAGCTGTTCGGATAACATCTTTTGTTTGCTGTTGGAGAAGGAATTTCTACTAACTTTCGGTGCACCAAAAAGGAGGCTTCTGTCAGGCATGAAAATAGGTTTATTCATCATGTTAAAGTAGTATTCGGCGAATACACAAAGCCAAGTAAAGAAAAACAACACAAAATTCAGTCATGAAGTTTATGAAACTCGGATCTCGGCCTGACACCCTCTACACTGCCGAGGCTGGAAGGTATGATTCTTGCTACCGATTAAAGACAGTTCAGTTTTGGTTAGATATTTTTCTTGAGGAACATACCATGGATTTTTTTTTTCTTGATGTAGGTCTGTCTCTTCCGAAGTCTCTAGTGACCTTATAATTCAAGTGAAAGGAATTAGATATCTGCTTCACAAGGTAAAATTTTGGAAGATTATTAGTTCCTATATTTGTTGCAACTCAATTGAATTATGTTCTCAAACTTTTTTTTTGTTTTTTTGTTTTTAATATTGATTCTTTGCAATTTGATCCTACATGCAGTTTCCTCTTTTTTCAAAGTGTTTGCGGCTTCAGAGGATATGCTCTGAATCCCATGAAACACCACAACACCAAATAATCCAATTACCTGATTTCCCTAGTGAAATTGAGGCGTTTGAGCTCTGTGCAAAGTTCTGTTATGGTATCACAGTCACTGTCAGTGCATATAACATTGTAGCTGCACGATGTGCAGCCGAGTATTTGCAGATGACAGAAGATGCTGAGAAGGGAAACTTGGTTTACAAACTCGAAGTTTTCTTCAATTCCTGCATCTTACATGGCTGGAAAGATTCTATTGTGACCCTACAAAGCACCAAAGCCTTTCCTTTATGGTCAGAAAATCTTGAAATTACAAGCAGATGCATTGAAGCAATTGCGTCAAAAGTTTTGACACACCCCTTAAAGGTGAGCTTGTCACACAGTCACTCGAGAAGGGTTAGGGATGATATATCTTGTAATGGAGAAGAGAGCCAGCGGCACAAACCAACAACCAAAGGTTGGTGGGCTGAGGACATGGCTGAGTTGGGTATAGACCTTTACTGGAGAACCATGATAGCAATTAAATCTGGTGGGAAAATACCCTCTAATCTCATTGGCGAAGCATTGCAAATTTATGCATCTCGATGGCTACCTAACATATGCAGAAAAGTAAAAGCTAACAAAGAAGCAGCATCAGACTCAGCTGGTGAGATTACTTCGAAGCACAGGCTGCTGTTGGAATCAATAGTAAGTTTACTCCCGTCAGAGAAAGGCGCTGTTTCTTGCAGTTTTCTACTTAAACTTTTGAAAGTAGCCAACATTCTCAATGCTACATCTTCTTCAAAGATGGAATTGGGTAGAAGAGTAGCACTTCAGTTAGAGGAGGCAAGAGTCAGTGATCTGTTAATACCCTCTTTATCATACTCAAGCGATACCCTCTATGATGTAGACATAGTTCTAACTATTTTGGAGCAATTCATGTTACAAGGACAGAGCCCTCCAACTAGCCCTCCAAGATCCAAGCTGGGGTTTGAAAAGAGAAGAAGGTCCCGTTCCGCCGAGAATATTGATTTTGAGTTTCAGGAAAATAGGAGGTCTTCTTCAGCATCACACAGCTCCAAAATAAAAGTAGCCAAAATTGTAGATGGGTATCTTCAAGAGATTGCCAGAGACATAAATTTACCACTGTCAAAATTCATTGCAATAGCTGAGACAATTCCGGATTTCTCCCGGCATGACCATGATGATCTCTATCGAGCTATTGACATTTATCTCAAGGTAAATAAATACTGGTTTCCTCCTCTCATCAGTTTACCATATTTCACGCTTCGGTTGAATTTTTGCAATAATTTCAGCATCACATTTTAGGATGTGGGTCACCTTTTTCAGTAGATAACCCAACTCTCTTGACTTCATAATAGTCTTTTTCATGCTCTCGATTTATTGGAAGTTAGGATCAGGCTGACCTAACAAATTTAGCGTAAATGATTTTACATTCTGCTGACTAAAGTGATATAATTCAAATGTTCCCTTTGTTGACATTTACAGAGTTGTCTTAGGACAAAATTAAGCTCTTATTAGTGCTAATATGAAGATGCAGCTTACTGTAGTTCTTATTTTTGAATACACAGGCACACCCAGACCTAAACAAGAGCGAAAGAAAAAAGTTGTGCCGCATTCTAGACTGCAAAAAACTCTCTGTCGAAGCCTGCATGCATGCTGCTCAAAATGAAAAACTACCTCTTAGAGTAGTGGTACAAGTTCTTTTCTTTGAGCAAGCTCGAGCCGCCACAGCTGGGGGCAAAATGGCTGAGCTCCCTAGCAACATTAAGGCACTTTTAGCTTCTCATAATATTGATCCATCAAGGCCTCCAGGTCCTTTAAGCACCACTACTAGCATCCCAGCAGATGATCAATGGAGCGTCTCAGGCCTTAAATCACCCAAGTCCAGAATGTCAACATTAAGGATGAAGCTTGCTGAAGATGATGATTTGGACGAAAATGATATGAACCCTGATGGAATGGGGAGACCTTCTAAGTTTAAGGCTTTCTGCGCTATACCTACGAGACCCAAAAAAATGTTCAATAAGTTGTTGTCCACTAATAGAAGTGCCAGTGAAAAGAATTGAGTGAATTTTGTTTATTTCCAAGTTGGGGATGTTAACATATACTCTCTTTTTTTTTTTGTTGTCCTTTGAGTAAATGCCTTTGTAATTTTAGCTGAGAAACAAAGAATCTCAATGTGCATTGTTGATGTAACCTAAGATAATAATAAGAATCAGGATTTTCAGGAGACAGGAAATTCTCTTTGCTGAATCTCATTTTTAAAACTGGTCTATGACTCCTGGTTGTGAGTGACCAACCATGGGGCCAATATGGCTGTGTTTGTCCACGAACCTGCAACACCTGTCTTTGTCACCTAGTTGAACTCCCTGGATCCTCACCTCTTAATCAAGATAAGTATTGGTATTTCTTCTGTCTGACAGGACTCAGTGCTTTTTTTATTGGAATTTCTCTGTCTTACATCTTTGTTTTGAGCGAAATTGGGATATCTTTATTCCAAAATTATACAAAAAATGCGCGTTGGCACCTGCAAAGATTCAGACATATACTTTCTTGAAATTCTTTGTGGGGGAATCAACTGCGAAGATGGTAAAAGTATAGAATTAACGAAATGAGGCACTTTTTCTAAGGAGAAATACAAAGACAAATTACAAGAAACAAAAACTGCATTACTTGGCAGTTCACATGAATGGGATGCTTTGCTTTTCACATGATTAACTTTCAATTCAATTATTTTGGTTTGATAAATCTTAATGGAAAACCTAGAAAACTCTACCGAGATTACCTTGCTTAAGTTTTCCCAGCTCGAGATTCAGTTTAAGCCCCTCAAAGATACAAGTACTGCTGCAAAAAATATCCACAAAGTTCAAAATCCCCTGTTAAGGAAAATGAAAAACCTATAGCACATTGAAGCAATAAATTAAACCAAAATAAGCAACAAAAAAGCCTTTTCATTTTGTGAAACCCCAAAAAGGTGTTTTAACTCTTGTTCGGTATACAATGAAGAGAAGAACAGCAAATTAAATCCATGATACATGATTCCCTTCGCTGTATCATTAAGATTAGTTGCATGCTTTCAGATGTCTCTTTTTTATCATAGAATAGGCTAAAATTTTCAGCTTAAATCAATTATAAAGCATTACTACATAAAGTGACGGTTTTTTTTTCTAGCCATCATTTTATTCATCATCTTCATCATAGTTTTCCTCAATAATGTCCTTCCATTTTCCATGACCCCTTTCTATGTGTTTCCCTGGCCTTTTCCCCCTCACGTTAGAGCTGCAATAAGAATTGTTTGCGATCTTATGAGATGTTCAGGGACTAATAATAATTGAATTACGTTAATCTTGAGTATATGCAAGAACATATTCCATAGTGCTCCATTCTAACCCTTCTTTTTTTTTTTTTTACTTATTTTTTAATTTCCCCTTACATTTCAAGGAGCTTTTTCAGTAATTCTATTGAGCATATTTCAGTAACCCGGCTCATCAACTGCCAAATCTGTGAAATTTCTGTTCTGGGGCCTGGAATCATCCTCTTTGGTGAAAACTTAAGGCTTTAAGGTGTTGGTACTTAACTGAATGTTAGGTAGGGCCTTTAAGATATGCACATCTTCTGGATGGCAATTAAATCAGGTTGAGAAACTTTATCCCGAATCAAAGTGCCCGTACCAACACATGAGTGTCCATCTGTCTTGCTTGGTGGTTGTTCAGATGCTTTCAGGTCCAATAAATTTTAGTGTCATCTACAAGCTGACAATGTTAGGATCAGGTTCCATGGGCTCTATTCCTTCTTTTCTGATCTTTTCTCCCCCAAACCATGCCAAATTTCAGCTGATAACAGATTCATATAACAACCTATGTTACAAGTACTCTTCATTTTGATACCTTAACACATATTCGTACTTGATTTTTTTAGAAACTACTATTCATACAAATATGATAGTTTGATCCTTAAAATTAATAAAAAAGATTTGTCAAAACCATATCGTACCTATGTTGGAAACAGATATTTATCCTACGTCTTTTCTCGAGTCCATTTAACATAGCAAAACAACTTTACCATATAAATCTTTAAACAAACTTGGGAAAAAACTAATCAAGAAAATCAAGTTTAATACATGTCACAAGCATGCTTGAATTAACCATGAGAAGGAGATAGAGTAAAAACTCCAGCGAAAAACAAAGAAAATAGTTAATGCAGAACAATTATTTTTTAAGCAAAGCCTTTATAGCAGCAAGTCAATAACACACATGACATACTAATATATACATATACGATGAGAATTATTGAGGCCCCATATGTCTGCACTACTAGATCATTCAGTAGTGGCAGAATTTGGCTTAGATGTAGAATGCCGAAGGGATGCAGATTGAGAATCAATACTTTTGCTCCGCTGGAGACTTGGGGCCCGATGAAGCCTGCAACGGAATGAACCGGCATGCGTGGTTGGAGAGCACAGGCAACTGGTCTTTGTAACACTCGGCTGTCTGCTAAGTCCAGACGCTCCTTGCCCAGACGCTGGTGCCGGATGAGACTCTAAACCACCGGATATAATTTCAGTCTCTGATGGAATCTCCACCTTCAGATCCTTCTTTGACATCTGCTGGATGTTCATTTTAACCCGCTTTATCCTGGCAAGTTTCAACGCTTGCAATAAGCCATGAAATACTAATATACACTACTTTTATGTAGCTAGATAGCTAGGAATGATATTTAGAGGAAAACTAATTTGAGTGAAGATAGAAAATATATAGACTTGGTACCTCTATCAAGGATCTTGAACGATCTGAAATTGAACAGATGATTCACTTGTTTAGAGTCTCCAGTAGCTTTGAAATGAAGAAGAAGAAGAGAAAAGATATGGATAAAGATATGCAATTGGCTATGGCTAAAATAAGAAAAGATGATGGGGCTGGTAATGGTACTATCCTTCTAATTAGTCTGTCTTTATTTTCCTATCACGAGATTTCCAATAAAATTCATTAACCCTCTCAACTACATCTTTCACTTTGCTTAATGTTTCAACTACTCTTAAAAAATATATATATATTCCATCATCAAATAGGACCCCATTATAGTTTTTCCTTTTATCTCTTCACCCTTTTTTCAGCATGTCATGAGATCAGATGATGATGCCCCTTCCCCCCTCACAAAAATCTTCTGATTGGGAGTGGGGGTCCCTCAGTTAATCATGGCAGACATTCTCGTGGGTGCCAATTTTAGCTTATCCCTTCAACAGGTTGCATTTGCTTTTTGCTTAGAATCTGTTTTGGCTTAAAATCTTTTCAAATGAAATGAATATATAGCAATTGTGGGCCGGCTGGGACATGACATCCCACCATCCCAACGTTGACAATATCTCCACCAATTTTTAATAATACTTAAAAAAGAAAAAATCATAACCCTTCTTTAGCCACATTTTATGATAATGACTTAAAAAATGAAAATATTTAAGCTTCATGTAGAGTTAATTAAAAATTATAGAATGTTCATCATATCCATCAGCATTCTATCATTTGTCTAGAAGTAAAGTAAATATATTTGAAATATGAAAAACCACAGATTTAAATAAACAAGGATATCTTCTTTAGATTTAAATAAACAAGGATATCTTCTTCTCCCTACATCAAATTAAGATATTACACGTTGTTAGAAGTTGTTGATTTATTAGAATCCATAGAAAATAATTTGGTCAATACTCCATTACTTAGGGGCAACGAGAGACAAATGCTACCAGATTTCAGCTATGTTATAGTAGCCATGTCATTAGTATATTTTGGCTGCCAAGTTATCCGCACCCACTGTAACTTTAAAGGTGTCGTAACGATTTTGAGACCGTCACGTAAAGGAGTTTAAAAATTGAAATAAATGAGGAAAGTCGTCATCAATCTTTTTTAGGGTGTGATTGATCACCCAAAAGTTTATCTTTTTAATGAAACTCTAAAAACGGGTTTAAAGTTTGTCAAAAAGATAAATTTCGGTCTACAAAAATCAGATTGGGTTCAGAAATCGGTTACGTGTGGGGAATGATTAGCACCCCCACAACGCCCATAAATTGCTACCATTTAATCATGCGTTATTTTCGATGTTGGATAAAATGGTTTTGACTTGAAACTTAATACTAATTTCCTTTCATTTAAAAAAATATTTTTAAAAAAATTTTATTTAGAAATATTGAAAAAATCTTTAAGTTAAAGAATTATCTAAAAATTCTCTAACATCTAGGTAGAATTTAAAATAACTCTTTTTACTTAAGATTTAATATAACAATCCTTAAAATGAAATAATAATCTTTATAGAAGATAATTATTAGTGACTTTCCAACATCTAGGCAGAGTACCAAGAATTATTTCCTTCAGATTATTATTTTTTTATTTTATAATATCAAAATTTTAAAATATATATATTTTTTTAAAGTTCTATATGAGAAAATAAATAATGATATTGTCAAGTAGCAAATAAATGTTAAGGACAGAGAGATACAACACGAATAACATGATGATGTATGTATGTCAATGAATATTATGTAAGATGAAATACAATTGTAAAGTTAGATTCTTAAGTATAATAAGACCACTCCGACTCTCCAACATCTAGGCAGAGCTTAGGTGCACTATTCATATTTAAAATCTCATTTTATTAATACTTTTTATTTAATAATCCCGTTATTAATGTGAATTAAGAACTCGTGTGAAAAAACTTAATAAAATAAAGTTTCCTAAATAGCCCATCATTTAGGCGACATTCGGGAACAACTTACTTCACATGAGATTTTCACACGTGTTCTTAGGATTTTCAGAATAGTTTTGGGGTTTTAGGGATTTTAAAGTTTGAACGATTTTTTTCGACAATGATTCGGTGTTGTGTACCAAATTTGGGATTTTTTTTATTTGAATTTTGAGGTTTTTGGATTTTAGGTTTTGACATTTTGGATTTTAGGGTTAGGTTTTTGAGTTTCAGATTTTGGGATTTAGGATTTTGGTTTTAGGGTTTAGGGTCAATGGTTTTGATTTTGAGGTTTGGAATTTTGGTTTTAAGGTTTAAGGTTAGTGATCTCGTTTTTAGGGTTTGAGATTTCGATTTTAGGGTTTAGGGTTAGTGGTTTTTTATTTTAAGATTTGGGATTTCGGTTTTACGTTTAAGGTTTTAAGGTTTGGAATTTTAAAACGCGAACATCTCTAAAAATTTTTAATATCTAGGCGGACTTTCGAAGCAAGTTCGATTTTTATTAATTTTAAGAATATTATACTTTATATATATTTTAATGAAGATTTATTATTATTATTATTATTATTTATTTTTTTATTTATTAATCTTATTATTATTATATTTTGATAATATAATTTCCCAACATCTAGGTAGAATTATATTTTTGGGATATGTTTTTATTCCCTCCAACATTTAGGCAGGGAAAATGAAAAAAATCTATTCTTATTATTATTCCTTTAGAGTATTATTATTGTTATTTAGCATTTTAAATTTTTTTTTAGTTATAATCCTATTTTATTTCATTTTATTATCAATAAAAAATAATCAAATAATTATTCTAATAAATTTAAAAATTTATCATGCATAAACAAATAAATAAAATACCAAAAATAACAAAAATAATAATATATAAAAAAATAAAATCGGACCGGTCAGCGATCCGATCAATAGCGGTTCGGTTAGACAGCAAAAGGGTTTGGTTGGCGGGCGGTTCGGTTAAGCTGGTTGAGGAGTGGTTTGGTCCAATTTAGTCAAACCGATTCAGAGCTGAATGAGGGGCTGGTTAGCGGGTCGGGTCCGGGTTGACGCGCGGATCTCCTTGGCTAAACGGCATCGTTTTAGGCCTTTCTCTAAATGACGCTGTTTTGAGTTTCAATCTTTTATAAAAGCAAAAAAAAAATTTTGCTTCATTTTTCTCTCCTCTCATCTCTCTCTAACTTTTCTTTTTTCAAAGCCCTTCTCTCTAGGCTACCGGATGGTGATCATTCGTCATTTTGGCCGTCATCTCCGTTCGTCGATCATCGATCATTTGCGATCGAAAAGTCATAGAAGGGTCCAAAAAATTCTCTGTATTCTCTTGAGCTTCGATCCAGCCTTTCTTTTGTTAGAAATGCCCCAATCAGCATAGATTAAGGTTTAAAATTTTCTCTTTTTTTTGTAAAACGAAGACTGATCTGATTTTTTTATTCTTACAGTGTGCTTCGGTGCTAAGGTTCTTTCCTACGGGGAGGACTTTTTATCTTTGTTTTTGTTTTTTTGTTTGGGTGTTTGTGTGGGTAAGAGGGATCGGTATTGATGGGTGAGTCTGATGGGATTAGGGTTTTTGGGTGTCTGTCTCCAGATTCTAAAGCTCCTGAAAAGGAAAGGAAGCTGGGGTTTTAAAAGGATGGAGAGTTGGGTTTCTGGCATGTTCTAGGAAGTGAATAGGGCTCTGGTGAGAGGACAAGACAGGGGGTGGTATGATGGCTAGGGTAATGGTATGATGGCTATGCAGGGGCGTGGATGGCTGGACAGGACGTGGGCAGCCAGCGTTGCCGTGTACGGCACCTTCTGGCACCAGTCCCTATTTTTTTTTCTTTTTTTTCATTTGGACATTTTTATTTGTCTTTTTTTAAAAAATTTTATTAATTTGTAATAATTAATTTGTTTTTAATTTTAATTAAATCAATTTTATTGTTATTATTATTAAAATCATTATTATTATTAAAAAAGATTGGACAAAACCGGTATCTACAACAGTCCCTTTTTATACATTATTGAAAGTTAAGAATAGGGCAAAGATAAGGACAATGATTTTATTCGAAAGTAAACCATGGATTTTTCAAAAGTTTTTCTTTTTTTTTATTCTTTATTTTTTTTAAACTACAGGTCGAATGATAAAGAAAATGATCGAGACGACATCGCGAGTTGATAAATAAAGAATCGACCAGGATAACACCATAAGTCAAAAAGTACAGAAAACAATTGGGACAACATCACAAATCGAGGAATGACAAGATCATAATTGAACTTCGATTGAATCATAAGTTAAAAAAAAAAGAAGACTGAAATTAAACCATGAGTCAAAGAACAATGATCGGGATTAAACCGTAATTTAAAAGTAAAGAGATCGAGATTGAACCACGAGTCAAGAAAATAAAGAGATCGAGATTAAATTGTAAATCAAAAAAATAATGAGGATCGGGATTAAACAGCGAGTCAAAGATTAAGATGACTGGGACTAAACCATAAATTAAAAAATAAAAACGATTGAGATTAAAGAGCAAGTCAGAGAAATAATGAGGATCGGGATTAAATCGTAAGTCAAAGATTAAATATGACTAGGACTAAATCGCAAGTTAAAAAATAGAAACGATCGAAATTAAACCGTAAGTTAGAGAAATAATGAGGATCAGGATTAAATCGCGAGTCAAAGATTAAAGAGGATCGAGATTAAATCGCGAGTCAAAAATTAAAGACGATTGGGACTAAACTGCAAGTCAGAAAGCAAAATTGACTGAGATTAAACTGCAAGTCAAAAACTATAGAAATGACCGAGATTAAACCATTAGCCAAATATTAACGATGATTGGGACTGAACCGCAAGTTAGGGAAATAAATAAGACTAAGTTGTGAGTTGAAATAGATTAGGTACCCTATAGATCGATAGTTTCGATTTTAAGGATTGTGCTAACATACCATTTTCAAGGCCCTCATCTTTGTTTTGAAAAAGGAAAATATTGATTCTCCTTGATGTCTCATAAATAAACTTTCTATGCAACTTATCAAGAGGTATGTAATGCGTGCAATGATTGTGATGAATGAAAAAAAGAAAGATGTAGTCAATGAATTATATCATGCATTTTCATCCAAGTTAATTCAACTTTTGGTTCAATTCTTTCAAACTTTAAAAGTCACTTCTAGTAATCTCATCTTTCTAAATCTTTCGATTCTCGATCAGAAATCTTCATCCCACTTGGCTTTTAGTTGCTCTAAAATCTTTTTCAAATTTTTTCTTTATCTCTTCTCCTTTGTTTTCAGTGATCAATCAATTTTATTTCATTCTTTCTGCCCTCAAATTACTAT